GTATGGTTCAGCAAGGTATTCTGAAACTTTCATGCTACCTGTAGAGTCCTCTGTATAATTCTGCTCCAAAAAAGAAAAATAAGAAAGTTTGTATTATTAGGTATCCTTTGTTGAAAATATATTATTAGGGGTTCTTCAAATTTGGCTGCAAAAAGGTGGAAATACACTTTAACTACTTGTATATACCTCCGCCATTTTTTTAGTTTTCAGTGCTGTGATAGCTTGACTTGCAATTATTCCGTCATGTGACACTGCTACCCACATACATTTTATATCATTTTTTAGGCAGATAGAGCTTTCTTTTGGTGACAGTTAAATCACCCCTGAGTTTTTTTGTACAACAGAAAAGAAAAAAAAAAAGAATACCAAAAAACTGTTTCCCTTACTTTCTGTAAAAAAAACCCCCAAAACAAATACCAGGACGGTTTAAACACCCCCGAAATGACGTCTTTTTAGAAAGTAGACAGTTTTTTTGCAAATGAAGAAACATGAAGGTATTGAGAGGCTTAAAACATTCAGCTTGGTAATGATGAACTACAATGCAACACATCAGGTAATGCACATAATACACAGAGAGAACAAGAGGTGAACGGGTTATTGTACAGTCACATACAGTGGCGGGATGGAGATTAAGGGGTTTAGATTAAGGGAGATGAAGGGTTACATACAGGTTACAATACAGAGGCAGGCTAGAGATCAGTAGTTTGGAAGATGAGGGACAATGAAAGGGTTAACAAAAACAAAACAGAGTCCCTGAGAATAAAGAATGAATAGACTCCTGATGCTGATTCATTCAATGAGTCTCCCATTCATAAACTACTTTGATTCCTCTCCTTCCTCTAGTAAAAAGGAAGGGGAGAGATCCTCAGTGTAAACACTAACTTGTGATCCCTGTAATGCGTCATCACAGCGATCGCATAGTACTGAACCACTCGGATCAGCTCGGTACAATGTCTCATTACACAGATGTCTGGGGACGGCTCACTACACAGAGACTAGTGGGCACAGAGCAGTAATTTGTTGAAAGACGCTTTAAAATGTCATTCCAGAAATGAATGTCCATCTCCCTGCAGGGCGGTGGTTAAACCATTGCCTCCCCATGGCCCGGCATACATTTATAAATCACCATTTAAATTCCTTTATATCAAGTTTTCAATGCAGTTACGTGACCACAAAGCTCCGGCTTCTCTGTATAAATGTGGACAGCTGATAATAGGGTTTGCGTCCATTGTGCTAGGTGTGGTCGGAGGCGGAAAGAGTTCCCTCCCACAAGCTGCATATTTACAGAGAGGAGCTGGAGCTTTGTGGTCATGTGACACCACAGAAAACATTGCGAGTTATGCTAAAATGTATGGGGGGCAAATATTTTAAAGAAAGTTTATTGTTTAGGCTTTTCTTCTACACCGCAAGATTGTTCTCACTAAGAAACAACACTGGATTCACACAGAAAGCAAAACAAGTGACAGTACACTGTTAGCTGCAGTTCCTGAGCCTTAGGTGGAATTCGGAACTCTTTCTCTTCCAGTTGATTCTGCCTCTATGGAAGTTGTGTGCGCCACTTTGGGGACAGAAACGGTGATTGAACCCTGTGAAAGCACAGGGCAAAAGGTCTTATGGGAGACTGGGCATAAAATGCCCTTCTATGAAAATTTGGAGGCACACAGTGGGGAAGGGAAGGGTAGAACATTTAAGTTTTCCAGCAAGCACAAGCAAGAGGTGAAGCTGGAGCTCTTCTTTAACGGCATTCTCCCAGAAAATATATGAAAGTTTTCGATCTACAGTGTGAACAAACAGACCTGGATTTGTGAGCAGAAGTGTCCACAAAGATCCTTCCTGTGCATCAAACATCACTTCTGGAGCCACTGCAGCCTGTAGCAACAAAGAAGGGGTGTCAGCCCAACTAGTATTATGTTGGCCTCCAGAACTATAAGCAGTAATAGAGAGACACTAACCTCAGATGGAGTCACATAATTTCCATAATAGACGGGCATAACTGAGTCTTCTGTGTTATACTGGACCCGAAGAGTGAGTCTAGGAGTGAAGGTGGCTTCTCCAAAGAGATCTTTAAAGACCCCATAATGTTCGGCTACTCTCTGGATGTGATGCGGGCCACATGTTTGTTCCCATTCTGCTCGAACTTCATCCAGAGCTATTTGCACTATTGTGGAAGAAACACCATGGCATTTTGGTAGCTTTTTCTTCTACATTTTGTTTAAAAGTTATCTTTTGAACTTTCACTAACATCTTAACAGGCTTGCCCCCTCAAAACCTACATATCAGTTTCTGAAAAATGCCAATCAGCAACGCACCCCGTTCTGCAGCTCTCTCCTCCCCACTGGGCGCCGGCTGCAGTCTTTGTCCCCTCCGATCCCAGCTGCTCTTCCCTGCCTGCATCACAAGTGGCAGTGGGGATTGGAGGGGACACAGACCGCAGCATGCAGCCGGCGCCCAGCGGGGAGGAGAGATCATCTGTCGTGATGCCGGGCAAGACAGATGTCGAGTGGACTTCAGGATGCGGAGCAGAGGATCAGCAAATATTTCACATATTTGCAGATCTTTCTCTGTACTGAGCAAACAGTAGAGTGATCAGTACTTTGCGGTTTGAAATAACTGAGAAGAAGAATGTAAAAATGTACTATGTCCCTAAGTTACATAGTATTTGAGGTTGAATAAAGACATTAGTCCATCAAGTCCAACCTATTAGGATCTCATTCTAGGAGTACCTGTACCCCTGTATATTGCGGTTAAGTTATGAATTTAACAGGAAGTGCTATACATTATTACTATTCATTCATGATTGGAGACATAGTAAAACTTACTATCTTCTCATTTTATGAATGAACAGGAGCTGTTCAGTACAGAGGCTTTGTGTCCATTTGGAAATGGGGAGATTGTACTATCTCCTCAGTTTATGAATTAGGAAACCTCTGTACTGAGTGCTTCCTGTTCATGGAGCACTGGGGCTGCAGAGATAGAGACTGGAGTCCCCAATCTCTTTTTCTGTCTCACAAGGAAAATATCAGGGGTCTGTTTAGACCCCCCGATATTACCCCAAAGCCCCTGACAGTAATGTAATAAATAATTAAAAATTAATAATAAAAAAAAAAAAAAAGTTGAAGGGTTCAGGACTACCGTATGTAAATAAATGGCGGCATCCTGAAGCAGTTATACCAAGATCACGGCTGCTGCTGGTACTGTTTTACATAGCCGGCGATGGCTGTTCACACACAAGAGATCCAGCAGCTATAGAGCTGCCCAAACAGTTCCAGGGCATGTGCACCCCCCACCGCCGCATCTATGCTTCATCAGCTTCTTTGGCGTCCCTAGGTGACATTAGGAGTCTTATAGACCCCTGATGTCTCCTTAAAGAGGACCTGTCAAATCCTCTTTGCTATTACATAGGGTGCTTGCTAGCCCCCTATATGATAGCAATAAAGTTAAGTGTAAAAAAAAAAGTCCCCAGCCCCCATGTACACGCACAAGGTGAAAGACTGAAAAATGGTCTGACCAGCTGTGGTCAAAAGTGTTAAGCAGGTCCTGGCATCGAAACAGTCAAAAGGAGGACTTGGCTGTGGCAGAAAATCTCTGGAAAATATATGTAGATAACCCCAGAAATGATGCAAACCAAATAACATACATGTGCGGTGGCGTGTGGTTCTTTCTAGTTCTGCGTTACGGTGGTTGTCCTTCCATATCTTTTGTCGGGCCTTCCTTAATTCTGTTGAAGAGGATGGTAAATAGGGTAGCCCAATGTCCACCTTCTCCGACATTCCATCTAGGTGATAATAACAAACACAAACAAGTGTGACCATTGGTAATGTAAAACTTCTAAACTGCTTCATTCAAGCCAACACAATCTAGTGTCATAATGCTATTTCCCACCCCTTAGATGATCACAGTTCAATATTCCAATGCTATGTACGTACAGAATACCTCCAGGGGCGGGGAGGGCCTTGGTTTAGAAAAGAAACTGGAATGATAAAGGAATCCAGAAGAAAGAATTCAAGGAAAAACAGGATTCAGACAAGAAGGAAGCTAGTTACACAGGGGAAGACCCGACTTCAAAGCCTAAAAAACCACACTGCCGCCTAGAAGAAGGGACCCTGCGTGGCCTGAAACGTTGGCTGTTTGACGCATGTGACAATTTCATAAAAAGTGCTTTACTTCTTGCACATATCATCGAGTGCTGGTGACTTCTATTACGGACAAGCTGTTAGCCAGGTACAGGCGGCGAGCGGCCAAGCTGTTCGCCAGGGGGGTGTTGTTTTGTGCTGTTAGTCGGTCGTGCTGCCACTCCCCACACATGCCGCCTGAGGCTACCTCATTATGGGAATGCCCCTGCGTTTTGCGATTGGGCAAGGGGAGGTTCGGGTAAACGATATGATCTCCCCTCGTCCACTCACAGAATGCCTTGTATTTAGTGGCAAGAATACAAGGCTTTTTGGGAATGGATGAGGGGAGAGGAAGGGGAGAGAGAACTACACTATCCTGCACTGTATCACTGCCACAACTATCAATCATAGAGCAGAAAGAAGAGCGCTGTGACTAGTATCCGGCATCAGTGAAGCGGTCATTTGTACAGCACAGAGCAGCGCTGTGGGCAAAGGATACTAAGCATTAGGGGGAACTGACTCGCATTGTATTGCTGAGAATTTTTTTTTTTTTCCCTGGAGTTCCACTTTAATAAAACTGTGCCCAGCAGCATTACACACTCCTATATACTATACTATGACTGGAAAGAAACATCTGGTTTAGTACATTACCATCTGTGGGGTACAAATACTGCCGGTATGTCCTCCACCAGACTGGTTTCTTGCTTTCTGCCTCAGCCACTCTCTTGTACCTGGTAAAGCTGCGATATTTCTTGAGAGAGTCCAAATCTTTACCCTCAAACTGCTCATTGGGAAGAGGGCCCAGAGGGGCAGCTCGGCGGCAAAGAGCAGCTGTGGATACAAAGACACAAGAATCAGACAATACACACCAACACACATTTCTTATCCACATCACAATTTATACTCCGCTCCACTGTAAGATTAGAACTGTACAATGGCCATAGACTTCTTTAACTCTTTCACTGCCAGAGCCGTTTTTACGGGGGGGTTTTTACACACGTTTTAATCCTAGTGTTAGGCCGGAAGATTATTTAAAGTGACACTAAACTGAGGAGTTAAATCTTAAAAATGCATTCGAGTACCTTAAATATTAACAAAAATGTATCTTATTTGTGTGTCACTCAGTTGTAGATCCTCCAATCATCTCTGAATTGGTGCTGACACTGTCATTCCTTCCGGAAGGTGGCTACTTTTGTTCCCCGTGCATGCTGTAAAGTAGTCACTACTTTTTTCGGGGTGGCTAGTTTTTTTGGGGTGTTTTTAACTTTATTTAACTATGTGATAGCACGTTACTAGTGACATGTTCTCTTTAAGGAGACATTGGGGGTCTATTAGACACCCTAATGTCTCCTTTGCAGCCCAATGAAACTGATCAAGCACAGATCATGCTAGATCAGCGTCTTCCCTGGCTTCTCTACCTGGGGAATGACAGCTCAGAAAGTGGAAATGATTCAATCATTGTCGCTTCCAGTTTCATATAGTGGGGAGAATATCAGCAAATTAATGTTTGCTGGTCTCTCTCCCCTCTACCCGACGACACCTGCGATGCCAGTCCTGGGCCTCAAGGAGGAGCAGCGGAGCCTGGGAAGGTGAAGGGGGTGACAAGTGTACCGGCCCCTGGAAGCGATCAGGCAGTTTTACACAGGCAAACAGACTCCTGGCGGCTATGTTTGTAGGGGCCCGTTGCTGCCAAAAGGGTGAAAGAGACCCAGTCACCAACTGAAAAAATTGCAGGTAAAATTACAGAGAAAAAAAACAAGTATTTTAAATATTTACCTGCAGTGGTTTTTTTTTTTTCTTTCCATAAATGTTTTTTTATATGTATCAATGCCCCTCCCTTCACAACCTTTTTTGCAGCTGCTGGGGGAAGAGCAAAGGGGAATACTATAAAGCAGGGGTGGCCAAGCTTCAGTTAGTTGAAACTACAAATCCCATCATGCATCCGCAAGTCATGTCTGTGGCTGTCGGAGTCGTGCAACGCCTTATGGGACTTGTGGTCACAGCTGGAGGGCCAATGTTTGGCTATCCCTGCAATAAGGTGTAACTTAAGTGGCAGTGTCTGCTGACATCACATCCAAGATGGGGGATCCAGAGCTTTTGGATTTCTACACAAGGGGGGCTTATACAGGTAAATAACATGCATCAGATTAGGTGCTGACCATTTATACCATAAACGACATGCCCTCATCTCGGTGCCCACTCACATATGTGAGCGGGCATTACTAGGTTATCACCTACAATGCAGGACCAGCGGCCACCTCATCAGTATGGGATTTGGTCACTGCGCCTGCATCGTGTGTCATGACATCTGCAAAAGGGGCGGAGACAGGACCAGCTAGAGAGTAGCATCAGGGGACTGGTCATCACAACCAGAGCAAGTGTGCAGAGTAAGGTGAGTATTCCTCCACATTAGATCATATGAGCAATATCTGCTTCATCAAATGGGGGGCCGAGCAACAAATCTGAAGGATTTCATTATGTGGCTTTAAAAGTCTGAAGCAACGTCAGACTGCTGACTATGTTTACATGTATTACATCCCCAAGTATGCACACATGTTCATATTACACGGTGCATATTACAGATGCAGACTGCAATGAAATGCACCGCCCTGTCACTACGTGTAACAATTCTCCGATTACCCGCAGTACTTATCAGCCTCCCGGACACCGGTCTCCTCGCCGCTCTCACCAAGGGCGCCGCCATCTTTCCTGTCAACCCTTCTCAGGGCCCGGGGCGTGGCCTCAACAAAAGAGCCAACAGCTGAGCTCAACGCCAGGTGGAGTGGGCGGGGCTGAAGGGTATACACGGCGTAGGGTCATGTGGGCATGGCTATGCCATGTCCCATGTTGCTCCGCCTTCTCTGATCACGTGGGGGATGTAAAGGTGTGATCCTGGCTGTCAGGAGTAGTAGAGAGGTGAGCTGAGCTGCACACGTGGGAGAAATGTAAATCTCCCATTTGAGGGTTTCCAAGACTTTAGGTGAAAGAAAAGTGCCCCGATGGAGTTGCATACAGCAAAGTCATAGTCCAGCTTAAACAAAATAATAATAAATGCACACATATTACTAGAACAATGTGCTATATTTTGTGCATTGAGCCTGCTAAGCGTTGCAGCCGTGATCACTGGATCAGTGGGTTCCTGCAGACTCTTCATCCTAGGTGCAGACCTTTGGTTATGGAGCTGGAGTAAAGGTGCCCATACACCTTACGATTATCGGACAAAACTTTTTGTCCGATGATCGAACCGTCGTACGATTGTGGTACGGCGACCCCATCCTGCCCCCATTATCGCAAGGTTCAATCAGCGGTAGTAAAAAAAAAAACACCTGGACGAATTGCTGTAATCGAGCGCACCTATTTTCGTTTGCGCATGCGCAGTGTTAATCGTACGACTTTTGACGGGCGGAAACGCCACCAACCATGCGAAATTCATACGATCGACCAAACTTTTCAAATATGCTTGAACGTCAAAAGTCGTACGATTGTACAGTGCTGTCGGTTGGGCACTACACATACACCTTACGATTGTCGTGCGAAGAGTCGATCGCATACGATTCGTGATTGAGTGTGCACAGTGGCTGATAATAGCATTGATACATACAATCACTTGCACAGTAATACCTTTGTTTATGAGCATAATTCGTTCCGGAAGCATGCTTGTATATCAAAGCGAATTTCCCTATAGGAAATAATGGAAACTGATTCGTTCCACAACCCAAAAATATTAATATAAATATGATTACAATGCAGAACTGTACTGTAATATAATACAAAATATAAAGAAAAATAAACCAATGACAGGTACCTTCGTGGCTGGTGTGAGGGAGACTAGAGAGAAGGATTATTGTGTAGGACGACTTTCACTATCACTAATGGAATCACTGATATCTCTTGGCTCAATGGAATCTTTTTCATTTCGTGAAACCTTAACAAGGAAACTATCCAATCACACTTGCTGTTGCCTCCTTTTAAAGATTTTGCAGAAGTGTGACATTGCATTGTCATTAAACAGATTAATCGCTCACACTGCTACAGCCTTATTCGGGTGGTGCTTTTCTACAAAATTGTGCTCGTATTGCAAGACATCGCTCGTATATCAAGGCAACATTTTTCAGAAATGTTTGCTTGTCTTGCGGAACACTCGAAAACCAAGTTACTTGTAAACCAAGGTATTACTGTATGGTGAGGGAAGTGTGCGCCCAGGGCTGGATTTACTCTCCCTGCCACCCCAAGACCAGATTACACAATGTGCGGCGGCGAGGAGAGAGGTA